AGAGTTGTATGTGCCCCCAATAAAATGATTTAAAAAAAAAGAAAATGATGATAGCAACATATGTACAAATGTGCTTGACACAATGGATGTATGTATGGACTGTGATAAGAACTGTACGAGCCCCCAATAAAATAATTTAAAAAAAAGAATAGTTTGCTTTCAAAATACATACACACATTTCCTATATATTAGGTTTACTTAAAATATTCATTAAGAATGTACTTGTTTACATTAGGGGAAAATCTCTGCTTGCTTGGTTTATAGAATTATTAAGTTTCTGAATGCATTAAATTACAGGACACACCTATTAAATAAAGGAAAAAAGCACACTTAACTGAGAGTAAGAAAACGTTTTGTTAATTCACATGATTTCTATCTGCGTTACTAACAAATGCTACTTTACATAGAGTCTAGCATCAACAAAGTAAGCAAGAGGTTAAACATTAACTACAAGGTCTAAACGTTGCTGTAAACATCCTGAGGACAAGAACGGTACGTCTCTTTTTGGCTTTTTACATTCTCTGCAGCCCTGGTGGAGAAGTGGTTATGGCGCTGACCAGGCTTTCTACTCCCGGAAGGAGACAGTCTCAGAGACCCACGGGGGCAGTTCTACTCTGTAGGGTCACTATGAGTTGCCATTGACTTGATGGCACTGAGGTGTTTGTTTTGTTTTTTAAGTCAGAGAGAAACAGGAGGTTTTCTACTCCCACTGAGATTTAAAGTTTTGGAAACCCAAAGTGGGTGGGGGGCAGTTCCATGCTGTTCTATAGGGTGGTTCTGAGAAGGAATCAACTTGCTGGCAGGGAGTTTGGTTTGAGTTTGGTTTTATAGCACCTACCGAGGGGGCGCTGGTTGTGTACTGGATTCCTCTTTGGACTGCTAAGCACAAGATCAGTGGTTCAAACTCACTAGCAGCTCGGAGGGAGACCAATGAGGCTTCCTGCCTTTGTAAATATCATTACCATGGGAAACCCAAAGCATCAGTTTTACTGATCAGGGTCACTATAAGACTCGATGGCAGTGAGCTTGGCTTGGTTCATGACACCTAGCATAAGAGAGACCAACGGGGTGCGTTATAAATAATGCTGGCAGGGACTCTGTGTTTTTAATGCAATGAGGCTCTATCTACCAGCTTCAAGACAGTCAAGAAACAAACAAAAATGATCTGGAAAACCAGTGGATAAGAAAAGATGTTAAAACAACCTTTGATGTGTGCCCCACAGCTTTTCACATTAGAAATAAATGCTCTTTTAAAACTGAACTTGACAACATGTTTACCTCACTGTTGTCATCCCTGGGAGGATAAAGGGCAAATGATTCATTAAAAAAAAAATCTTAAAAACTTCAATGACATGCATTCTTCTTGCTCTTGCCTTGACACCTTTCCCCCAAAGTGCCTGAACAAGAAAGAGCTCCCCTTGAAACACCTCATATCTAACGGCTGCCCTGCGAGGGAAGTGACTCACTCCTATGTTCAGTACACAGCAATACAACAGAAGTTGAATTTTTAAAATCTGAAATTGAGTAAGATCATAATTCAAAAAATTGTGATCACGAAGTTCCTACAAGTGAATTTACTAGGATTTAATTTCTTATCCACGAGAATATTTTGCTGGAGCTTCTCTAATGGTGTGGAAGACGAGAAGTGTGGCCCCACACCCTGCCTCTCAATACTAAACCCAAGCCAAACGCGCTGCTGTCAAGTGGATTCTGACTCACTTTTTTTGGTGGACGTCTGGTTTTTATTTCTGGGCAACCTTGAAACTTCTCATTACAATTTGCCTGGAGTGGGAAAGGGCAGTGGAGCACACGGACAGCCCGTCTTCCACCGCGAGGGCCGGAAAGTGGTCAGGCTGTCCAGCTGTGCCGGACAGAGAATGGCAAGACAATGAGGTGCCATGTGCCTGGGCTGGAGTTTGGCCGTGGGTCATTCGGGCCCAAGTTCATCTCCTTTCAAGGGGAGGTCTCCAACGTGGCCAGAAAACCCATCGATCCCACTCATGGGGCAGATGGCCAGTGGGGCCGCGCTCTTCCCTCCGAGTAGCTCAGACTGAAGTAGGGCTGGACGGCCCGCAGAAGGTAGCATGAGACAAAGTAAAAGTGTGACACCTCTCAGTCACGTTGTAGAAGGAGACCTCACCAGCATCGTAGTCCAAAAAAATCCCCACCTGCTGGAGAGGGGTCCGTAGGGGGAGGGCAGTCATCGGGGAGGTGAGAGCCCAGTATTCCTTCCCATACCACAACCCTACAGCTCTGTTACTTGATCAGGTGTCTGCAGGACAGGGTAGAACGGGCCCTGAGGGTTCCCGAGCCTGGAACTCTATTGGAGTGAAAACCCCATCTTTTACCCACGGAGGAGCTGGTGGTTTCAAACTGCTGACCTGGGGGTGAGCAGCCCAACACGTAACCGCTATGCCAGGAGGGCTCCTAGAGAGTCACTGAAACTCTCAGTCTGTGCTGACCAGCTCTGAGAGGGAAGACGGGCTGGGTAAAATGCATGAAAACATGAAATGGACTTCTTTCAAAAGCATTTATTGCGGCCTAACCACGAGTGGCAGTGGCAGCCCTGCCCAGGCATGTCTGGAGCCCCGAGAAAGAGTCAGGCCAGGCTGCAGACTGTTCCTCTGCTGTCGGGGGACAGGGACCATATGACCAACTGTGAAAAGCTGGCTTTGTTTGCTGAGAATCATCACCCCTTGATTTATGTTGTTTGATGAGAATCGCAGTGTAGAAGTAAATTCTAGAAATTTGACATTTACACACTAATAATCTAATCTGGGTTACAGGTTCATCAGTGGACCCTAGAGTGTAACTTGCACTCAAAACTGCCCTTCTCCCACTGTTTGAATCGGATTCAAAGTCATGCATTACATTTAGTGATCATGTGCCGTCAATCCGCTTAAATCTCTAAGGGTCCACGCCAGGAGGCTCATCCAGTCAGTTTTCCTGACTTTTTAACAGCGGTGCCCGTGTCAGGGGTCACATGTGGAGGCACACCAAGCCTGTTTGCGTCATCACTGGTGACATGCATTCTGAGAGCTTGGCTGGGATGTGGTTCAGTTTTCCCCGGGGGGGATTGACTGGGTTTCTTTTGTAATTAATAAGTACTGTACGTACTCGTGCATAAGCCGAGTTTTCCAGCTCATTTTTAATGCAGTTTTTGTGGTAAAATTATGTGCCTTGGCTGATATCGGGTTGGCTTATATTCAAGTATATACAGTAATTTGGGGGGAGACTGTTTGAGCCTACATATATATATATATTCCTTGTATACCGATGAGTCTTCCTAAAGGAATTTTTCAGATGAAGGAAGCAGTATTGTGATTTTTCCAATAGCATAGCCACTCTTTCTGTATTTCCTCCTTGACATTCTACTGAAAGGGAAAACATTTCCTTCCTACCATGTGTGTATGTAATGTGTATGAATGATTATCTATTAATATCATTGTAAACTCAGGAATTTCTCCCTACAACACCCCCCCATTCCCTCCCCCCCAAAACCTGGAGGATTATATTACATTACCTTCCTTTTTAATTGTGATGGTCAAATCTGGTGTCAAAATTTGAGCACCAGGTGTCCCAGATTAGGCCTGTGGGATCATATTGATTTCAGTGTCTTTGTGACATGCTACCAGTAGCTATTAAGCACTCTTTAGCAGCAAAGTAGTAACAATTTGGGCTGCTAACCACAAGGTCAGCAGTTGAAAACCACTAACTGCTCCGAGGGAGAAAGAAAGGCTTTCTACTCCCATAAAGAGTTACAGTCTCATAAACTCACTCAGAAATCCAGGGGGCAGTTCCACCTTGTCCTATAAGCTCACTACGAGTCTGCATCGCCTCGGTGGCAGTGAGTTTGGCTTTGGTTTGGTATTTTAACCAAAGACGCTGCAGGATCACCTTACCTGAGTGCCACTTTCTCTCAAGAGGCCTGGCTCCCCTTAGTGGGGAAAGGTATTAGAAACCACGATCTTGACACAAGATCTGCTGTGACTACTGAAACGTCATGGGTTCTGAGCCCCTTCAATAAACTGAGGCAAGGGTCACTCACACACACACACACACACACACACATTTCTGCAATCATGAGTTCATGATGACACCTCTAATTCCTATCCCACCCCACCCTGCTCCTCCTTGCCATTCCTTGTTCTATACTTGTATTTTCCTTCTCACAAAGTAAGAGAAATACACTTATTCGTATGCTTTAGTCTACTATAAAAAAAACAACCAAGCTTACTGCCATCAAGTTGATTCCAACTCATAGGGCAGGGGAGAACTGACCCTGTGTGTTTCCGAGGGTGTAATTCTTTACAGTTATAGAGAGTCCTGCCTTTCTCCCACAGAGTGGCTGGTGGTTTTGAACAGCTGACTTTGTGGTTAGCAGCCCAACGCTAACCACTACACCCCCGGGGCTCTTCCTAGCCTACTATACACACAATATCATTTTTAGAGTTGTACTTATTCATTGTGAAGAGTAACTCTTCTAAGGTGAGTGTAATATTTGTTTGGAATTCTTTTTATTTTTCTTTAGACAGAGGCTATATATACTTCTACATTCAATACTTACTGATATTAATTTCCTTGGAAATATGGTTGGCTAATTTATTTCTGTTTCTTTTCAGTTTTACAGATGCACCGTTCATGATGTGAATTTTAATATCCAACACATTAACATAAATTCAAAAGTCAAACCATATACATTATACTCCTTCCCCACCCCTTCTAGTCACCACCCCATCCCCGTCTCTTCTAGGGAAATCAGCACCATTAATTTCTCATTACATACGATATTTAAAATTTAAAAACAATCTATCATGCCACACCATGCCTTCCTCAACTGCCAGAGACCCTGATATCAACAGAAGCCCAGGTTGCAGTTTAATTGTTATAAAAGCCCTTCATATTTACAGGCTGGAGTTCTTTCTAGCGTTGGTCACAGACAGGGCTGACTTGCCATTCAAAGCCTGGGCTCAGGTGAGGGAGGAAGTGTAACTGATTACCTGTTCCTCTGAAACTTCGAGAGGAGGGGATGCTTGCTGCTCAGATCCCCGACCATCCTGATAATTTCGTCGTTGGCGAAGAGGAGGGAAAAGGCGGTTCCAATTGATCATTCCTCCCTAAAAACAGATCAACACATGTTTATCACACACAGAAGGAGCTGGACCATCATGATGCTGAAAGGACTATCTCTTTCAATACACTCACATCTATACACGATGAAAGACGATGTTCTATAGGATTTATGTGAGCAAGTCCAATCTTACAGTAGCACAATTACTAGGGTGAAACTGGTGAACTGCAGCAGGGGCACAAAGAGTAAGGAAGGCAAGTGAAGCTGCCAAAGTTATCTGTGCAATACACACAAACTTCACATCGGTCCAAATGAGCCTCTATTGACCCCTCCTCCAGCGCAGTCTGACTCTCAGGGGGCCCAGCTGGCCATTTGTTTTGCTTTGGACAACCACATGAGAACTTGAGATCGCATAGCATGGACCCCTCAAAGTCGGCCCGAGAAAGGGCCACATGCAGATTTTGGCGCTTTCCCAACCTTGGTGTAAAGGGAAGCATTTCTATTACCATGGGTTCGGGACAGCCTAGTTTTGTTAGAGGCTGTATTGTAGGTCAGACGCTGGACCATTTTGAATACCTCTACCCAGCATCCCTGGAAGATGAAGGCACTTGAGAGTTCAGAGGTCAAATAGGACTGCCTGAACATTTAATTTTGATGAACTCCAGTTTATCTTTCCCTCCACTTTTTTGCTGATGTTTCTGGGGGTATACTTGAGAGTCCATTTAAAAAAACAAGGGCCTATTTTCCAAAACAAAGTCTTAAAGATTTACCCTTTCTATCTTTTTCCCCTTTCTTATACATAGATCATTTTGAATTAAGTTTTGTAATACGGTGTGAGGTATGAGGCTAACTTTATTTTTTTTTGCATGTGATGATCTAGTTGTTCCAATACCATTTATTAAAGAGACAATACCATTTATTAAAGAGACTATTCCTTCCCCGGTGGATTTGGCATTCTTTTCAAATATCAATGGGGCTTATCTCTACCTCTGCACGATTACTTTTATGTATGAATAAAAGTGACAAAACAAAAGGATACATGCTCTCACACGTCAGGGGAGCAGTTTTCCTCTAAGGCCAGTGCTTGCAAAGGGGAACGAACAGGGCTTTCTGAGGTCCTATTAATATTCTATTTCTTGATATGGTAGCTGGTTATACAGTACACTCAGCTTGTAAATTATCATGGAACTGTATAATTATGTGTGTATGTGCTTCTTTGCAGAAACTTCTCCCTATGTACATATCAATAAAAGTTACCGAAATAAACAGAAAACTTGACAAGACTTTTTGCCATTAGTAAAACTGAAATACTACTTAAATATCTACCCACAAAAACTTATAGGTGAAATCCATAAAAATGCTAAGGACTCTCCGTCTTATCAAAGTATTATAGAAAGCAGGAAAAGCTTCCCCTCTAAATTTTTTAAGATGAGTATGTCATGGTTTCCAAAACCAGAAGAGGCCATTGTGAGAGTGAAGAGAAAAAAGTAGAACAGTTCTTTTTTAAAATCTATGAACATAGATATAGCAATCCTAAATAAAATTATTAGCAAACTAACAATGCTCCAAAAATAAATTACCTGGTGTTCCTGTAAAACTCCAAACCAAACCCACTGCCCAAAAGTTGATTCTCACTCACAGCGATCCTAAAGGGCAGAGTAGAACTGCCTGTTTGGGTTTGCAAAGTTGTAAACCTTCAGCTCTCTCCTGCAGAGTGGCTGGTGGATTTGAACTGCTGACTTTGCAGTTAGCAGGCCAATGTTTACACCACTATGCCATCAGGGCTCTGTGGTATTGACTTAATGAGGGTTTATTTCAGGAGTCAAAGAAAATAGGAACAGAATAAAGGGGCAAAAAGATTGTCTCAAAATAACAGGAAAAAAATTTAGTAAAGTTTATCATTCGTTCTTGAAAAAACAAGTATGCCTATTTCTACCTCTTGTATTTGATACAAATCATAGTATAATGAGGCAAAAAAGATAAAAAGAAAATGTATAAATATGAAAAGGTAGGAAGAAAATGGTCATTATTTACATATGATGATTAACTACTTAAAAAAATCCAACAGTTTTTGGAATCAATTAATTAAGTTCAATGGTGCCCCCCAACTCCTGCAATACTACTGACTGCTCTGAAGGGGGTCATACTGGAAGGTATTAGACAGAGGGATCTAAAAATGTGAAATCAAACTCAAAATCATAAAAAAAGAAAGAAAGGAAAACCAGGCTCACTGGTTTGGATGAAGACTGGTGACATCCTGGAGACTACGGTCTTTAGTCACTGTTCAGGCCTGGAACTGCGCCACCCCTTTGGCTCAACTTTCAGATGAACAATAAACAGGTCTACTGGGTGAATATTAATACATGGGAAGATGGAGACTCCTTAGAACAATCAAGCAGCTGGGACCAGAAGGCCAACATTTGTCCAACGACACAGTCCAGGCGGCAGGGTTAGGAAAGGAAAGGGGCGGAAATGGGAGATGCAGGCAGGAAGTGGGACGAGTGATATCACTCTGGGGAGTCTGGAATCAATGACAGGAAACAAAATGTGCACGACTTGTTGAATGACAAATGGATTTGCTCTGGAAATCTTCACCCAATACACAATATAGAGTTAAAAATAGACAAAGTGAGTTAAATTCTCTATGTAGACAGGCCTTGGGTTATGAATGAGATCTGCTTCCAAATGTGTCTTAAGTGGAATTTGTAAGTAAGTGGGAACAAGTGCATACAGTTTCCCCCCCCCACTTTGTTTTAATGCAAGAAAAGGAATTCTGGTGGCGTAGTGGTTAAAGAGCTTAGATTTTGATAAACGTAGAAACTGGATGGGACACTTCTACTTTATCCTGTAGGGTTAGGGTTGGAATTAACTTGACAGCAGTGGGTTTCAGTACAAGAAATGGCATACAGGTGCCCTGGTGGTGTAGCGATCATGCATGGGCTGCAAACCACAAAGTGAGCAGTTCAAAACTACCAGGGGTCCCATGGAAAAAAGAAGAGGCGTTCTACGCCTGTAACTAATTTCCAGAAACCCCCAGGGGCAGTTCTTCCCTGCCCTATGGGATCACTATGATGAGTCAGAATCAAATCGATGCAGTGAGGCCTATTTTTGAAGGGGCTATATGGACAGATGTTCTCTGAAGCACAGACTATGATATTAACTAAATAAATGTGGAAAAAGTTAACTGCCTGTAGGTATGGAAATAAATTCATATATACTTCCCTGAGATAACAGACACAGTTGGAATAAATAAGCTAGACTGACCATGTGGGAAAGTCTCAAAGATGCAGTGTTAAACAAACAAACAGGCTGTATAAGAGTACGCATGTACAATATCATTTAGTTAAATAACTTTAAAAGCCCACTGGGAACACCAGATTATTATTTAAGCTATGTAGGGGGGTTTATCCCCACAGGTTATATGGCAGTATCTGGGGATATTTAGTTGTTATGACTTCGGGTGTTTGGGTGGGCACTCACCACTGGCATCTAATGAGGAGAGGCCAGGGATGTTCCTAAGCCTCCTATAATGCGTAGCACAGTCCCCCCACAAAAAAGAATGACCCGCTCCAAAATATCCTTAGTGTCCAGGTTAATAAATGCAGATAAGTACATAAAAATGCAAAACACACCAAGAAGTATACAAAAAAACCCAATTACAAGGGCAGTGGGATAGGAAAGACATTTAGTGCTATCTGTAATGTTTTATTTCTTAAAAGAGAGTGAAATGGTAAGCAAAACAAAAGAAAAACTCCATTGTTTAACATCTAGGATCGTAAAAAAGTGCTTAAAAAGCAGAAACTTTTCAAAGCGCTAGGTTCTAGGATGTTTTGACACTGGTTCGCTCTTTATATAGAGCCTCTGCAAACAGGAAGCATTTCCTTCACTTTGTTTTCTTCAAAAGCAGTAACCACACATTAAAAAAGGAAGAAGGAAACAGCTTGCATTTTGAAGAGGTTTTTTTTAAATGAAATGTATATTAGTTGTTAAGGAGATTTTAAAATATAGTAATATTTCTCCTCAGAATACATGGCTCATTTTCAATGTGAGGAGGAGTAAAACTTATTATATCGGGCAGAAATCGCATGGAATAGAAAGAATTACACCCTAACGAGGGGTTTGAAGGTTTCGGAATGGAATAATAGGTCAAACAGAGTGTCTACATCAGATAAGCCACGTCAGAAGAATTTAGTGGTGACTTGTCTTGGGCACTAACAATTTCTACAGGACACGTAGAACACAAGATCTGGTCTTTGTTCATGGGGCGCTCATAATTTTCTTGGGAGATGGCAAGACATCCCCAAATTAAAAAATTTAAAAATTACCTTACAACAATGTAAGGTAATACACATCATGAAGTGGGAAGCTGTGAGGCAAGCTTTAAAGGATTAGGAAAGTTCAAAGCAGCTCAGATCAACGGCACCTAAAGCACAGATGTAAAACTTCAAGGCAGATAAAGGGGTTCAGCTCAATTTTAAAGGATGAGAATAATCTAAATAATAGAGGTGAGGGAGGAGAGACTTTTTGTCAATGTGTTCAAAGGAGGGAGAAAGAGAACGTATTTACAGCTACTTCCAAAAGCAAAGCAAAGCAAAGGACTAGGACTAGTACAGACTCCATCCTACAATAACTGCAAGAACAGTCATCAGTGAGTGGATACCTAGGTAGCATCTCAAGCTGAACAGGGATGGGAAGGTGAATGGGATGACATTCAAAAATATGTACAGATTTGCAGATGATAGTTCTACACATAAATCTGTGTGTGCACATATGCCCTGGAATAGACTAGAGCACATTGTTGTTGTTGCTGCTAGGTTCCAAGGAGTAGTTCCGACTCATCAACACAATACTGCCCAGTGTTGCACCATCCTCACAGTGGGTCCTACGCTTAATGGTTAAGTCCCTTTAGTCAATCCTTGTAGACAGCCTTCCTCTTCTTTTGTTGAGCCCCTTTACCAAGCATGAAGTCCTTCCCCAGGGACTGGTCTCTCCTGATAACATGTCCAAAATGGGTGAGATCAAATGTCACTCCCTTGTTTCTAAGAA